GGGGGGGCGGCTCCTCCGACCCAGCTCATCCTCCACCGGAGCCGTCCGAGCTCGGGGTGTCTGTCCCGTCCCGGGTGGCCGGGAAGGGGTCGAGGCACCCGCACCCCCGAACGGCGAGGCAAGGGGGAAGGTTTTCTTTCCCCCAGCGCTCGGTGCTCCCGGTGTCGGCGGTACCCAGCCGGGAATCCGCGGTTGGGTTTTGGGAGTCAGAGGGACTCCGGTAGCGCTGGAGTCGGGAGGAGCTGCGATGTGTCCAGGCAGAAACATCCCCGGAGGGGGGAGGTGGTTTGGGGAAAACCCCTCCAGGGAGCATCTCTCCCACTGAGCTCGGCAGCAGGATGGGCAAGTCCTCCCCAGGAATCGCTTCATTTCTCTGATCTGATTTCTAGAATCTTCTCCTCTCTCCCCAGAGCAAGAGAAGATGACATCTCAGCTCCTCTGAACCAGCAGTGCCCAGGGACCAGCAGAGCCATGGAGCTGGAATACGAGCTGCCCAACGCCACCGCCTTCTGGTTCTCCCCAGCTTCCCCTTTTGACAACTTCTCGGTGGAGGTGCCCACCAACGCCTCACAGAACATCACGGGCCAGCACTTCGACCTGACCAGCAATGCCATCCTCACCTTCATCTACTTCGTGGTCTGCATCATAGGGCTGTGCGGCAACACGCTGGTCATCTACGTCATCCTCCGCTACGCCAAGATGAAGACCATCACCAACATCTACATCCTCAACCTGGCCATCGCAGACGAGCTGTTCATGCTTGGCCTGCCCTTCCTGGCCATGCAGGTTGCCCTGGTTCACTGGCCCTTTGGCAAAGCCATCTGCAGAATTGTAATGACGGTCGACGGGATCAACCAGTTCACCAGTATCTTCTGCCTGACGGTTATGAGCGTTGACCGGTACCTGGCTGTCGTCCATCCCATCAAATCTGCCAAATGGAGGCGACCCAGGACAGCCAAAATGATCAATGTGGCCGTTTGGGGTGTCTCCCTGTTGGTGATCATGCCCATCATGATTTATGCTGGGGTGCAGCATAACCACGGCAGGAGTAGCTGCACCATCATCTGGCCAGGAGAGTCGGGTGCTTGGTACACGGGCTTCATCATCTATGCCTTCATCTTGGGCTTCCTGGTGCCTCTCACCATTATCTGTCTTTGCTACTTGTTCATCATTATCAAAGTCAAGTCTTCAGGCATCAGAGTGGGCTCCTCCAAGAGGAAAAAGTCTGAGAAGAAAGTCACCAGGATGGTCTCCATTGTGGTTGCTGTCTTCATCTTCTGCTGGCTCCCCTTCTACATCTTCAATGTCTCCTCAGTCTCTGTCCTGATTGTGCCCACACCTGTCCTCAAGGGCATGTTCGACTTCGTGGTGGTCCTCAGTTATGCAAACAGCTGTGCCAACCCCATCCTTTATGCCTTTTTGTCTGACAACTTCAAGAAGAGCTTCCAGAACGTCCTCTGCCTGGTGAAGGTCAGTGGCATGGACGAGGCAGACCGAAGTGACAGCAAGCAGGACAAATCCAGGCTCAACGAGACCACAGAAACCCAAAGGACCTTGCTCAATGGTGACCTGCAGACGAGCATCTGAGCAGACAGTGGGGTTGTCCTTCCTCTGCTCTTCTCTCCCCACCTGCTTCCAACTGGCAGTGGCACATATGGAACAGGGGCAGGAGTGCCAGCTTAGGGAACAGCAGTGCACACATGGATGGGTGACAGGAGTCCTCGTCTGGGCTCCTCCTGAGCTGCTGGTGGGTTGATTTTCAAGTGCTGGCAAGGATAATGGATCAAGAGGAGCTGCCTCGCCGGGAAAACAAAGACAACTTGTAGCAATGCAGCACGTTTCAACACCAAAGTGCCACCGTGGGCCACGGCCATCCCCAGGGTGGCTCTGCTGGCTTCCCTACTGTTACCCTCGGGGCTTGTTTGCTTTGGGTGCTCTGCCCAGAGTGGGCGCTTTCACATGGACACACACACAGTGGGGTGACTTCAGGAGGAGGCCATGGATGTGTGCCCGTGTGTGCCACTGTGGAGATGCACCATCTCATAGCCAAGACCTGGTGGGAACTCCCTGCAGAGCCCACGCATGCTCCTGCAGTCGCCCCCTCCCCGAGGAGACAAGGATATTGAGGGTTGCATTTTGCCTGGTTTATAAATGACTCCGATCCCCCCTCCCCCCAAACCCCCTGCTGCTGTTTGACTGCAGCATCCCCAGGGGCCACCCTGCCCAGAGGTGACACACCAGAGCCAGGGCTCTGCCACCCCGGCAGCCCCTCTGCTCTCACCACACTTCTCCTGTGCCTCCTCCAGCCCTGCCATCTCCCTCAGCAGGAGAGCCCTTTCCCTTCTCCCGCCGGGACGTCACCTCCTCGCAGGTTTTCTCCTCAGATGAAGGATTTCCCTTTTTTTTCCTCCCGAGCAGCTGCTGTCCCTCCACATCTGCTCGCCGTCAGTCCCACGCTGTGCGGGCAGCCGAGACCGCTGCTCTCCCTGGGGAACCGCGCCCCGCCTGGCT